TTTATTATTCTTTGCAATAATTGCGGTAAATTTATCAAGTCAAAATTATATAAGTCTTAATTATTATGCTATCAACTGGACTGAGAATTTATTATATTTTTTGGTCACGGCAAGAATAAATGAAACTACATATTCTATATGTATCATTAAACCAAGAGACTACACTAAAAAGAACCCCGAGTGCACGCTGACAAGCGTCTTGTCAGACTCGTAACATGGTATATCTAGGATCTAGTGAGCCCTATTTTTTGGTGAAAATWTTGATCCYTGAGCCCGATTCTCACCAAATGTTTGATCCCTGAGCCCGTGCAAACATTTTGAGCCCATTTAAGTTGTTTGCTCAAGAATTGCTTTGAATAGTGTTCAAAAGATCTTAGCTAAAACCGAAGGAGGTCTCCTTATACAGTATGACAAAAAATATACATAATAACACAAGTAGTGTCATGGCTTGTCTGAATGGGGTTAACTGTTATCTGAGAAACGGCTAAAATAATAACTGTTAACTGAGAATTTCGGATTTATTTAGCTGATAACTGATATTAACAAGATAACTGTCATGTTTTGCATGTAAGTGATTAATCATTGGATGTTTAGTTTGGAATAACGCTGAATGCAGGCGCCAAAAAAGATACGACCCCGAAGACAATTCCTTCGCTTTGCATGTGCTACCACACACTCTGGCAGGTACCACCGCTTCGTGCGAACGATCAAAAATGCCTTTTTTGTTGTTAAGTCACTCAAAATTTCCATAAAATTGATGCATTATGTGTCTTCTCGATTCTCTCAAAATGCTGGAAATCGCATTTCCGAGGATTAAAACTCCAACATTTTCTGGGGGGAATGCCGCCGCACCCCCCGCTCATCAGCCTCCCACATAATCAACCGCTCCCGGCGCGGTCCCTGTCTGGCTATCACGTGTGATATCAACTTTATGTCACGGCATAGATATAACTACTGATGCATTTTAAAAAGTTGACTTGATCAAAGCCATCTATCATCGTTATGAAGGGTGAAAGTATTACTTGCTAGTATAGAAAAGGGGAGGAGGTACACTTTGAGAGTTATCGGATATTTCCAATATTGACTACAGTGTTCAAAGCTCAGTATTAAAGCTGAAGAACCATTTGGGGAATTTTCTTAGCCTGAAAGAACAATCTTAAAACGTACTTTTCTTAATAACTGAATATTTAGTTGTTAATCATTACACAAAAATAATAATTAACATGTGGCTTAACTGAGAACCGAGAAATTTAACTGATTACTGAGAAAATTGCCAAAAACTTGAGGGCAACGCAGGAAAATTTAGCAGAAAAGAAAGACTTAATTTTCAGATATTCCCGAACGACCACGCCACCTAAAGATGGGATCGAATTACCTGAATGCACGGAACAACATGTGCACGAACCTCATCGGTATTCGGAACTACTTCGGAAACAATGCTTTTCCGAATATTCCGCAGTTTAAATTAGTGCTTTTTAGATACTTCTTTTACAGAACAATTAAAAATGATTTTAACTCAAATTAAATGCATTATTATTATTATAGTATCCCGATTTTTTTCTCTTGAGCCGTGAGCCTAACTCTTTGAGCCCAGAGCCCAACCAAGATTTCGGAATTGAGCCCGGCCATTTGAGCAATGAGCCCTGAGCCCATATACCATGTTACGAGTCTGGTCTTGTTTTTTTAATGTTTTGGATCGAAAAATGCTTGAAAATCAACAAAATATCTACGGACGTCAAGGAGTTACATTAAATATTAGATAAAATAACAACGAAAATTCAATGTGAAATTTTATCGATGTGTTTACATGGTTTTCGGAGAGAAAAAAGATATAATTTTTTGGATAAAATCAATTTTTGAATATTTACACTATTTACGTTGTAATAATATGGTGACTTCGAGGTCATAAAATATTTTGATTCATCAACCAATCAGAGGATAATACTCCAACAGCATGACGTAACGTCTGCATAGTCTGATTACCAAGAAACGATTCGTTTATACTCCTTGCTTCCGTCTTAAAAACACGAAAGAAAATGTTTTTCTGCGTCTGATTCCTCTGTTACAATCGAAAATCGACTTACGTAAACGGTGATTTGCTCTACGAAAATAATGCAGTGTGMTTAATAGTATATATATATTCGATAATGTATAGCAAGAACTTCATCTGAAGGCACAGTTGAATGTGAAGACACAAATCGAAAGTGAATCCTGCTTAACTTTTATAGGTAAGATCGGATTTATTCACAATTTTTTGTAGATTCAAAATAATACACGATAAATAAAGCAAAGATAGCTATATGTGACAATCACTGGCAAGGCCAAAGGCTTATTTTCACTAGTAAAGCAAGCGGAGAGGGAGACTACTAACACTGTACACGCGATTGAAAAGCTATAGTGAAACTAGAAGGTCGAAGGAAGCGTCGAAAAAACAAAAAAAACCCCTCCGTTCTGCTTTCTTTACCCATCCTTCTCCTCCTCAAACTTGCTTCACTAGATAAAATGTGCTTTATGTCCATAAATGTCTAATATCTGAAATGTACGAAAATAGGTTTTCATATTGATGATTAAATTCGTCGTTTAAGGAGAGTTGACGTCTCAGACTTCACAACAACCTTCCACGTTTGAAACGCCAGTATATAAACGGGTCTTATTCGAATGCAAATCGTCATATATAGGTGGAATTACTGTTTGATGCTGGAGATCTGACTTCATATCACGTGATTATGATGACGTAATATTAGTTAGAGTCTTGGCCGGAAATCAATCACTAGCATGGATCATAGCACATGACTAAACTACATTTCTTGATTTGTGTTGGCAAAATTTATCGAGCATATTTATTGAGCATATTTAAGTTTTAAAATATAAGTTTACATCAAATAATGATAAATAGAGGATATTACATGGGCGCGCGGAGATACGGATTTTATCTTCGAGTGTTGAAAAGATCTCTCGCAAGTGAGCGTAGCAAACGAGTGAGAGATTTTCAACACGAGAAGATAAAATCCGTATCTCCAAGCGACCATATAATATTCTGTTTATCATATAATTTCACATGAAAGCAAATTATGTCGTAAAATACTTTTTTTCTTACTTCCACTACATAGAGAAACTTCGAATGTTATTTTCACTAAYGAAAATATCAATTTTACGAAATGGAGAAATATAGGTATTTCATAGATAATTATATGATAAAATGATTTAATTCGGCAGTTTGACAACTGATTTTCGGATTGGTACAATATAGTTCATGTAATTACAAAATAATAAAAYAAATAGGATACATAAAAGACAGAAAAACTACAGCTTACACTTAACAAATCTGTCGGTGTGGTTGATATTTGGTGCATCTGTTCTGAAAATACCCTTAACTCTAAATAGCAATTTTTTCGAAAAAAAAACAACTTTTATTATATGCGAGCCGACGGACCATAGTCACGTCAGTATAAAATACCGCTTCAAATTGTAAACAAACTGGCAAACTAACCATATTAGATATACTTTTTGAACAAAAAAATACCATGAATTCAGAGAAAAAACTATTTATTTTCTTTCTTTAAGGAAATTTAGTGGCTTCCTTGGCATATTTACACTGATTGTTTTAGCTAGCTGAAACAACGGGAGCACCCCAAGGGTTTAGAGACTTAAATGGGGGAGACATGATGATGATGATGATGATTTTGAAGAAATTAACTTGGATTTTCCTTCGATCGTAAAAAGCGACCAAAAAAGAGGTTAACCACGCTAAGAACTCAGCTGTCAAGGATATTACATGGGCGCGCGGAGATACGAATTTTATCTTCGAGTGYTCAATTGATATCGAACGAGTGAGTGTAGCGCCCATGCAATATTCTGTTTATTATATAAATTATTATAAACACAAAACAGCAGCAAAAGTTTAAATATACCTTTATTTAATGGTAACGTGTTATCTTCACATGTGAAAATAGCATGTTATATGTTATTTTCACGTGTGAAAGATATCACTTTTTCGCGCTCTAGATACACTGGTATTTCACATAATAATTTATATAATAAAAAGGTTTATTACCGAATCCACCGTAGTGTCGAATGGGCCTGAATTCACATACACCTACTTGCGAAAACGTTGTCATAAAAAATAGGACATTTGTATTTTAGTAAAAAGGAATAAATTAAAAACACAAAGGAAGATCACTGAGGCTGAACGCTTTCTTTTGTCTTGTTTTAATTTATTCCTTTTTACTAAATTCGAATGTTCTATTTTCTATGACAACGTTTCTGCAAGTAGGTGTACATCTGCTCGGCTCATTAAATACCTGAAATTCCATCGTGCTTTTAATGTAGAAATGGAGTGTGCCATGTTTAAGTTGCTAAGGGACGCTCCATTTAACTTTTGAGGGAGGGGGAGGGGGTGTAGATGATTTCTTTTTTCTTCGTGGCTTTTGGGCAGGATATATTTTTGTTCTCTTGGTGGTGTGTAGGATTTTTTTTCTTCTTTCATGTAACATTTTTTTGGGCTTATTTTTGGTGAAGATGGCTTGCAGGATTTTTTTTCAAAATCATCCCCCCCCCCTCAAAAGTTAAATGGACCGTCCCTAAAAGCTTTCTTTAC